ATCCAGGTGCTTGCTGGTTTTATCTACAAGCACAGAAGCCAGATGCCACACCGAACTTCTCAACACTTGTAAAATGCTGCTCCGAGTTGAGCCCAGAATCATAAAAGGGCTCAATCAATCAGAAAAGAAAGTAACTGGGACAAGAAGACCGATGTCAAAAGCAAAGTTAGAAGTTTAGCGAGTGCGCTGTTGGCACCTGCTGTAATTTGCACAGCAGAAAAGTTCATCAGACACTAGCAGTAACTAAGCAATCTAAGGCTTAATTTGAGGCCTGATACATTAGCCTTTCTAGTCATGAGCACAGGATCACGGAAGGTCTTGGCCCCGTTGAGATGGGCTGAGGTTGAGGGGTGATGCTCTGCCCCTCACAGTCTTGGGCCCATTATTTGATTGTGATTTTCCGTGTCTATTGTCTTCGTTCGGTCAGCATCTTCTGCAACTTGTTGTTGACTTGCTTAATCACTTCCTTCAGTTTAGTGACGGCCTCTCGGATCTTGGCTGCCAGGTCTGTTTTGGCACCTTTCAGGAGCTCTATGGAGTCTTTGGCTACAAAGAGGACATCCAGGCCCAGTGTGACACCTGTCATGGTGCGTGTGGCAGTTCCCGCTAATTGTGTGATGTGGCCGGCTTTACCCAGCAGATCTCCAGCTTTGACCATCTTCGTACCATTGAAAATAACACGCCCTGCTGCTGCCATAGTCCGTGTCGTTTCAAACAGCCAGTCACCTTCTTTGGCCCTTCGCATGCTGGCTGAGATGTGCTCCATGTACTGCTTGATTCGATTTATCTCATCCTCGCACTGGCCCAGAAGCTTGTTGAACTCCTTCTCCTTGTCTTGGCTTTGCACGCTGTCACTGCGGGTGGCCGCTGCTCTGGTCAGGCCGCCAAACAAGGAGACACCAAACCCTATGGCGGAGACAGGCAGCGATGCCGGGCAGAGGAAGCCAAGCCCTACGAAGGTTGTGATCCCACCCGCGATACCTAATGTCCCTCCGACAATTTTTGTTTTTGTAGCTTCTTTGTGTGCTTTGTCCACACCGTCAGCAATTGCCAGAAGCGCCTTTATGTGCTGCTGCAGTCTGTCCCGGGCCCGCAGCAGCTTCTCCCTCAGTATTTTACGACTGCTCATCCTTTCTAATTTGCTAAGGAAGAAGAGAACCAGGGGGTTATTATTTCATAAGTCTAAAGTGTTGGCCCCAGTGTGATACTTTAATGCTCCTATCACTTTCCACAGTGTTCCCACCGTGCACCCCGCGCCTTGCACAGGAGCTGCGTCCTCGTTGCCCAAGGGTGTCCTTGGGTCGTCACCCCGAGCTCGGCTTAGGCGCACGGGCACGGCCAGGCTGGAGCGGAGCGGTGGTGGGACGATGGGCCCGGGCAGCCCGCCTCTTCTAGGGGCCGGGGGCCCAGGGAAAGTCCCCCGAGGAGATAGCAGTAGCGTGCCCTACAGTGGGGGGGTCCTGCCCCCTCCCAGGCCGTGAGCCCTGCCCTGTCCTGAACCCGGGGAGGGGGGGTTTCCCCTACAATACTGTGTCCATCTCCCATACCTGAGTGTGTGGACATGCCCATCCTCCTCACGCCCAGGGGAAAACTACAGTGGGCCAGGGCCAGGGCTGGGTCCACGTCACTGGTTCATGGGTCAGACATACCAGGAGACTGGAAAGCGTTGGGACCAGTGTTTGAACCGTGTCAAGCCAAGAAGGGATAGTGGTGGGGAAGGGATAGCTGTGGGATGGGGCTGCTTCCTGATGCTTTAGCTGGGTGCATCCCATCTTAGACAGGTCCCTGACATGGAAAGAAGTGGGCACATCCTGCAATGGTGCTAGGGCCTGCAGGCACTGAGTGTCCCAGGGAAACCCCCGCTCGAGCGCACCCACTGCGGTGGGTCTCAGGCCTCCTGCTGGTCTCTTACATCTCCCTTTAGCTTCTCCCTTGGTGGCAAAGACCCAGTGCAGTCATGACAAGCGCGGGCCCTGGGACTGATTCTGGAGCTGCCTGGGGAGGGTGGGCTGGTGCAAGTTAGGAAAGCAGGAGCTGTATTTACAGTTGAAGAAGGAGCCAAGAGGGGCAGAGACTGGAGCACCCAAGAGGAGCCAAAGGTGCTGGTTGCAGCCGTGTTGGTCTAAGGACATGGGCAGACATGGCTCTTTGGGTAAATGCAATATGTTTTATTAGAGCAACTAAAGTACTTGAAAAAATTCTTTGTTGCAAGCTTTCCGGTACAAACAGCTTTCGTCAGGCTGAGGAAACGTTTGCAGCCCGGGTGCCTTCCAGCAAAAATGAATTCACCCGGAAATAAACCTCATAGGAGCAGAATAACCCTGAAGTGATAAACGTGCTCCAGCAGCAACCCCCCCGCCCCAGGCAGTGCCCGGTGAAACCCGGCTCTTCCAGCACTTCTGGCCATGTCCCTCTCCATGGGCTCGGCCCTGCAAGCGTCTCAAACGTGTCCCATGCCTGGGCTCCTCTCCCTGCCCACCGGCAGTTCCTCTGTGGAGGCAGCTCCTGGCACAGGCGCCCCCACGGCCGACCCAGACCCAGACCCAGCCCGACTCACCCAAGGCCGGTTCTCACTCCTGGGTCTTGCTTTGGGAAACGCGACCGGTGCAGCCTCGTGCTCTGGTCCGGGACCTGGTGTCGGGGGCCACGGGAAGATTAATAAGTGCACAGGGTGCTGCATGGAGGCTGGGATTGCTGTGATCCTGAGCCTGGACTGGGGTGGAGACGGTCCATCCCTTTGCCTAGGTAGTCACTTTTCTGCTGCTTTCACTTTCTGATTCCTGTAAGAGCAAGGGTTTTCTGATTCCCATAAGAGCAAGGCTTTCTGCACAATCACGTGTCTGTGGCTGGGGTGGGACCAGCACAGCTGTAGCAGCAGGTGCTGGGGGTGGGGGGCAGGGGCTCGCTGGGGGGTACAATGCCCAGCTGGGGGTGGGGGCGCTGGTCCTGGTGGGTGCTAGTCAGCGCCTGGGGCTGGAGCCGGGTCCGGTCTGGGGTAGTACCCAGGCGGAAGTAATATGCACAGGAGCATGCCCAAGCCTGGGGCAAGCGTAGGGTCAGGTGGGCACAGCCATGGGGGTGTTTGCAGGCATGTGCACACATGTGCTGATCCTGGGGGGGTTGGGCATGTGCAAGGACTGTGTGTGTGTGTGTGTGTGTGTGTGTGTGTGTGTGTGTGTGTGTGTGCGCACTTGTGTGTAAATCTCAAAGTGGGCAGGCATGCAATTCCAAGGTGAGGTGAAGTGAGATGAGGTGTGTGTGCATGTGTAGGTGTGCCAATTGCTGAAAAGTTGTGCAAATGTGGGGGGAGCAGAAAAGCATGGCGTGCAAGCCCCATGTGGACCAGGGCATGTTCATGTGTGCAAACGGCAGGGCAGGTGCGTGTGCCAGTCTGCACTGGGCCTGGTGCTGCTCCAGCCCCTGACGCCCATGTCCAGGAGCTCCCGGCCAGGGGGCACCACTCCCCGGGACTGGGCCGGGCACAGTGGGAGTCACTGCCATCCGCAACTCACGCTGGGAGCCCGTCTGAGCCAGGCCCCACAGGGCAGAGGGAAGGTCTCGGGGTGGCGGTGGGATGGTCACTCACTGTGGATGGGCACTGGGATGCGGGTGAGCAGCTCACCCAGCTAGTGGGATAGACCCAGGAGCAGGCAGACCAGTGCAGCCAGCTTCACCAGTCAACATGAGCCAGCCTGGGCATGGAGACACAGGGGGCTGAGCCCTTATCCTCTCTGCCTGCAGGGAAGCTGAGGGTCCGGGTCTCAGTGCTTGGGGACAGGGGGCAGGCACTCAGGTGCTGGGAGCACAGGACAGCCAGGAGCATGGCCTGGGGGAGATATGGGGGGGTCACTGCCAGCCCCCCCCCGTGGAGACCCCGGGATCCGGAGACCCCTGTCCAGCGCCCAGCTCACGTACAGCAGCGCCAGGCTCCAGCTGGCCCAGCAGAAGGCAGCCGCCCTGCGCAGCGAGAGACGGGTGGTAGCGCCCAGGCCTGGCCCAGCCCGCGCCCCCACCAAGGGGCAGCTTCCTGCCCAGGGGTGCCAGGTCTGGAGGGCAGCCGGCTCCATCGCCCCAAACGCACGTATGCACACGCATGGCAGCATGGCTGGGGGTTGCGGGTAAGAAGGGAGGGGCACTGTTCGGGCTGGCGAGGCAGGGGCCGCAGGGCATCTGTGATGGGCACTAGGGCTGTGCGAGGCTTCGGTCTGTGCTTCAGAGCAGCATGTCTGGATTCAAGTGCTGGCTTCGTTAGGCTTTCCGAAGTGGTTCGGAGCTTCTGAAGCACTTTGGAAAAGCTTTGGAGATCCAGCCATAGGGTATAACGGGGAAACAATGAAATATCCATAACTCTGTTGTTTTTTGTCTGATTTGGATGACTGTTCTGGGTTTGGGCCTTGCACCTCTAGCTGCTGGCAGGCAAAACTCGTGACATGGGTGCTTGTGCAACTGTGTCTGTGTTGGGGTGGGGTGGGGTGGGGATAGGAACTACTGCAGGCCTGGCTGCTAGGCTACTGTGTTACCAGTTCCCAATCAATCAGTCACGATTCCCTCCGGGACCTGCTCAATACACAGCTGGTAGCTAATGTAACCAGCCAATTAGCAACAATTGACACCTCCAAAACCACAGACCAAGGAGAGGTGACAAGCAGGAAGCAGGGTGACAAGAGGAAGGGAAGCACAGGACGTATAAACGTCCGAGGAGCAGGAGGTCACAACTGTCCTGGGAGTGGGAGGAAGGCACGAGCACCCTCAGGAGGCCTCAGGTGCCTCTGCACTAATGCTGGGAGCATGGGGAACAAACAGGAGGAACTCGCCCTCAGAATAGCCAGTTCAAACCCAGACATAGTGGGGCTTACAGAAACGTGGTGGGATTCATCCCACGGCTGGGCAGTGAGCATTAGGGGCTATCGGCTCTACAGGCGGGATAGAGAAGGAAGGAAGGGAGGGCGTGTGGTGCTCTATGTCAAAGAGCAATACTCATCCTCTGCCGGCAAAAGGGGGTCGGAGGAGGGGCAAGCTGAAGTGCTCTGGGTCAAGATACAAGGGGGTCATGGGGAGAGGGATTTAACACTGGGGGTCTACTACAGACCCCCCAACCAAGGGGAGAAGCTGGACCAGGAGTTTTCGGGCCAGCTTGCAGAGGCACTTAAGGCAAGGGATGTAGTTGTCATGGGTGATCTAAATTACCCAGACATCTGCTGGGAGGAGCAGTCAGCCAGGTCGGACCGATCCAGGAGGTTCCTGGCCGAGATACAGGACCTCCACTTAACCCAGGAGGTGCACAGTCCCACCAGAGGAAATGCCCTGTTGGACCTGGTCCTGTCCACAGGCGATGATCTGGTAAGGGGGCTCCAGGTCCTGGACCACCTGGGTGACAGCGATCATCGCTTGCTGGAATTCACCATCCAGCGCAGGGTGTCAAGGGCCTGCAGCAAGGCGGTAGCCCTAGACTTAGTTGAGGAGATTAGTGGGAGAGGCGTTGGGGTTCTCGAGGGCAGGGGAACTCAGTACCCAAGATGAGTGGTCGTTCCTTAAGGAGATGATACTCAGGGCACAAGGGGTGATGATCCCAACAAGAAACAAGGAGGGCAAGAGTATCCAAAGGCCCCCCTGGCTCACCAAGGACGTCCGGGAATGCCTGGTTGCCAAAAAGGTGGTGAACACCCGGTGAAAAGGGGGGCGCTATCTCCAAAGAGGAGTACACCTCCACTGCTCGGGCCTGTAGGGGGGCCGTTAGGAAAGCTAAGGCAGACATAGAGCTAGGACTAGCGTCTAAGATCAAGGATAATAAAAAGTCCTTTTTCAAATATATAGGGAGGATGAAAAAGGCGCTGGGAAACATGCGGTCCCTGCAAGACGCGCTCAGCAATCTGGCGGTCACGCCAGAAGAGAAGGCAGACCTCTTTAACAAGCTCTTCACCTCCATTTTCTTGTGCAGGGACCGGGACCCCCCCACCGTGATTCAAGATGGACTCAAGGGGAGCGCCCCAAGACCTAAGGATGAGGAGGTCCGGGTCAGAGTGCTTCTGGAGGGGCTGGACGTGTTCAAGTCAGCAGGTCCAGATGCTTTCCACCCCAGGGTACTGAGGGAGCTAGCAGGGGTTATTGCGGGGCCCTTGGCACGGCTTT